TAGCCTACTTTACTTACAAACGATAGTAATGAATGTAGTAATGTTTTTTTTTGTAGTCTTATCGGTTACTGAGAAAGCACTATTGATATTATTCTAACAACGAAGTATCAATAGTGCCTTCTCAGTAACCGATAAGACTACAAAAAAATGAACATTACTACATTTATTAGTATCGTTTGTAGTTAAAGTAGAGTAAAAAAAGGTAGATTTTTTCAAAGCGGATTCCAGTGTCTGCCTCCAGCTGCCTCCTTTGCATGTTAAATCTTCAAATCTTCAGTTGTGTAACTATTCCACCACACTACGGCTTATTTGTTAATCGTGAAATGTGATTAAAGGTTATCTTATGAATGAAACTCTGTAAAGAAAAGTAATAAATGATCGGGTGATATGATAAAAAATGGGAGACCTTCTTCTGAAGCAGAAACCTCCGCCTCCCCACCGCGCACCTCAATGGCAGAGTAACGGGATGTTGTTCAGACCTACCACCGATCCTCTGCAGATACACAAGGTTGGCAAAAATTCTCCTTTCCGTTCCAAGGACCTTTTCTTTCAATACAAAGACCCCCTCCTCTCATCCAATGACTTTTCAAGATGGAGAGAATCTACTTACTATTCCTCGCCGATGTACAACTTTTCAAATCCTTCCAAGGATCAGTATTTTCTCGCCCCTTATTACCGAAACGTTATGCCTCCACCACCCGATTCGAAAAAATCACTGGTGCAGGACCCGAGAAGTAGGTTTAGCTCTGGAGGAAGTCAGTCATCCTGCCATTGTCGCTCAAAATCTATGGAAGATGTAAGGGCGGAAGTGGTGGAGGTCAGAGAGGAAAAGAATGGATCAAGGATCGGATCGAGAGATCACGTTAGAAAGGATAAGTTCAATAGATATAGCGATAGAAGGTCGATGGACAATCTTTTGTTGGATGCCAACAATGAAAGCAGTTGTGGAAGAAGAGCTGGAAGATTGCAGGTTTGACTTTTTTTATCAATACTTCCAAACCAAAAATATATGTTGGGATTAGTTTAAATTTTCGTCCGTATGTTGTTCATCGATTCATTTCAAAATAAATTACACATAACAGAGAAAGTATGTTCAATATCTTAAATCGATAGAGCCAAGAAGCTAACTGGAGGAGTGAAAAATAAAATAGGAAATTAGAATGAAAAATGGCTAATTTATTTGCGTAATTAAACGATATATATATAAAATCAACATGAAATGCTATTTATTACTTATAGAAAATTCAAGTCAGAGTTCGGATTCTAACTCTTCACTTACTCAGTGGCTGGAATTTAATTCCAGCTCAACTATCAACTATCCATTTATAAAATTAATTTGTACTAAAGTCAGGCTTGCATTATTTTATTCTTAATGACGAATCATCACAATGTTCAATGTCGAATTGCATTGAATTATATATAATTTTAAATTTAACACTTTTATCATATTATAAGAAAAGAAAGTGAAACTGAATTGTCTGCTCAGGATAAATATAGTCGGATTGTAGAAAGTATAATGATTTGAAATTGAGCCTGGGAACGGAACAAACTTCAATCAACGATTTAATGCAATATAATGCATCCGTTATCGGCTTTTACAAGAAACTGCGTTTGATAGGAAAATTCCAAGAATGTCACTACTAAAATGCAGCTGACACACTTCAAAGGTGCAAGAGCACGTCTTTCAGGTTTCCCGTTTATTGGAATTTTATCTTGAAATAACTATTAAATAAATCAACATACCTTGTTCAAACAACTAATTTTCACAGTTTGTTCTTCGAAGGTTTCAGGTGATGAAAATCGCTGTCCTCACATGTTTGTTCACAATAGGGGGTCAAAAAATCTACAGGCGATAAATCAGGAGAATACTGATAATGGAAAATCCATTAGATGTTTTTCTTCGAGATAATTATTATATGTGTTGTGTCCATCTACTTTCTTCTATGAATATTTATCCCACCTTTCGCACATCATTCAATCAATTTTTTTAAATTACTGATATAAAGAATGATAAATTGAAACAAAAACGCAGAATACATCTGAATCATATCTTTTTCATATATAAATGTAGGTGCAAAATCGGAAGTATTGAAGACTGAATATGCCAAGGGACGCTTTTATTTTTGGTCATTCTTTGTGAAAATAATCACTAACGGACATGCGGTTTCCAGAAAATTCTGCAAACACATTAGAAGCACTCTTTTATAATAGTGATTCATTATCAAAAGTCGAAGGAAGCGATTTTATACATACAAATAGAACTTTTTTGTTAAAAAAAATCTTTTAAAAATTCCTGATATTTTCAAAAAATGCAAATGCTGTGTGAATAGTGAGTTGTAATATTCCTCCTATGCTCTCAAATTCGTACAAAATCATTCACACATTTGATTATTTCAAACACCTATTGTAAAACCTATGTGATACATGTTATATCCATTATAGTCAATATAACAGCCAAAAGTGTAGGTATTTTTGCGGCGACTTATAATTATTGATAAGTATGTATTATGTGATGATCTCACAGGCAATTGAGCATTTTCCGATTGAAAAAATTAAATGGAAAGTACTTTTATTGAAAACTTCATTATGTCTGATGTATAGGGCGTATATCGTAAATGTGAAACTCGTGTCAACGTAATGGTGATCACGGTAGCGGTAAAAGTTACTGGGAAAAATATTGTCAAAATATCATTGACTGATTTGTTTGTTCACAAACATCAGAATTTTGTTAGAACTAATCCATTTCAATCATATTACTGTTTTTACCGTTCTGTTATTTTCTTGTACTTATATTTAGAAACGTTTACTCACATGATTTTAATTACATTCAAATTTACATTTTTTTTAAGGGATTTTAGGCCTATCTGACTGATTTGATTTTGTTTTTAACCTTTTGATAGGTGTTAATAACCTGTATAGTGTGGGAATATTCCCAGTTTTTTACGTACATTTGTGCATCATGCACTTGTAAATAATCCCCTCATTCCCCTTGCCTATATTCTGTAACAAAGATGGTCAAACCTGTTGTCTGTAAGGCCGAGGGCATGAGCGACAGCCAATCGATGGCAAAGCGACGCGAGGGCGGAATGGTGGCGATACATACAACAACATCTACAGTAAGTAGCACGAAACGTGCGGTGGTGGAGCGACGAGAACAAACTACGGTCGCTCGCGATTACAGTAGTGTTGTGTAGAAAAATATTATAATACCAATACCAAATGGAAATTGATAATGAAGAATTTATCTTGTGTCTTTTGCCAAAATTACTTCTTCCTTCATTTATTGACTGAACACCACCTCAAGGTCATGCTAGGTAGGTAGGTAGGTCTAAAGTGAGTGGGCCTATTCGACCCTCCACCGCAACCCATAAGGGTTTATTGTGGCTCACACCTAATCACACTCGGCCAAATAAACCCAGCTCCTAAACGAAGCCGATTAGTTTGTATGGTGAGTGGTCTTTCAGGTAAGATGGTGAGAGTACGGATCTGCCGAACTCAAAGAACCTGATTCGGTCTCCAGCGGGGCAGACACAAAGTATATGCTCTGCAGTTTCATCATTTTCCAGACAGAGGCGACACACACTGTCTTCCGACAGTCCAAGTCTCTGCATGTGTGATTCAAATGACAGTGACCTGTAAGAAGGCCTGTTAGACATCGTAGTTCATCCCTACAACAACTGTTTGGAATCAAGCTTCGAAGGGTGAATAAACGCCTTGGAGTGATCCAATCCTGGAAGATTCTGCCGGAAGTCCATAACTCTTCTTGCCATCCAGGTATTGTTTGTTTGGCAAAGCCCAAAGCGATGCCAATGACAGGTTATGGTCCAATTAATCCGTTTGCAGCACCCTTCTTTGCAAGAGAGTCAGCAGCTTCATTGCCTTCCAGGCCAGTATGGCCAGGAATTCAGACCAGAGACAATCTGTTTAGTCTTCATATCGAGGAGAGTCTTATTTGACAGTTCGCTACCAATTTAGACGTTGCTCGGTGGGAGCCAAGAGCTTCCAACGCCGCTTGACTGTCCGAGAATATTTTTATTGACTTGTGAGTGAGTTTGGATTTATCCAATCGCACACAATTCAATAACGTAAATTTCCGCTTGAAATACAGTCGCATAAGTTCTTAGGCAGGTAGATAACTCTGTCCTGGGTCTGCGACTGAAAACACCTACACCAGAACCGGAAGGTGTTTTTGATCCATCTGTGAACCAACAATTATCTGCTGTTAATATTTCCTTCTCCCAAGATAATGCTAACTACGTTCTCATTAGTAGACTTAGCTCCAATAATTCTCTTCGACGTAAACTTCGGTTACCATGACGTGACATGTTGCTCACTCGTCTCCAGCGCGACTGATCAACCGAAGTTTCGTGCCCTCGGCCTAAAACTCAAAGCGTGAAATAGGGTGGGCAACTATATATTTTTTTCTTTAAATTATGGAGCCCATGATTATGATAATGAAAAATTAGAGCCGTTGTTTCTAGAGATAGAGAGCAAAACACGATTTTTTTATTTGTGTTCCATGCATCTAGTCGAATTACTCTGTAAAGCATTAATAACAAGTTGATAAAGAAATTGTAGAGAAGTATAGTTTATATAATATAAAACTGTTCCACAAACATACATACATTTGATTTGATTTTTGTTCATGCCATTGCTAAGAAGCAGTGATTTCAACAAGAAATTGAAGTAAAAATTTTGTTGAGAAAATAACCAGCATTTCAAAATTACTTACCTTTCATGAATATTTAACCCTATTCAGCCCACATCATTTAGATTTCGATCATAAAAAATAAGAACAATTTTTTTTTAACCGGCGAAAGAGAAATCACCAACATTTTCAAATTAAATTGATTTAAGTGTCTTGTCAACTTTGAAATAGTTTATTAGGTATGAATTGAGATGAAATTGAGAATTGGATAGGTATACGCCGATTCGAATATAACGAATTTTCAATTTGAAAAACTACAGATTCCAACATTCAGATGTATATTTTGTTGCAGCCGACACCAACACCCAATGTGGACTTGGATAACAGCGATGGAAGCGGCAGTGGCAGACCTAAATTCGTGGCCGTTACTTCTTTGGAAGATGTTCAAGCAGTCAGGTGTGCTGAATTTCATCCTGGTGGTCAGTTGTATGCAGTTGGTTCAAATTCCAAAACTCTCAGAATATGTGCCTACCCAAAACTCGCGGATATCAGGTATGTATTCAGTTACTTATTTACACACGAGACAATAGAAATATAGATTCTTTACTCTGTCCATCCAAACAACGGAGTGCTCCAAAACATTATAATGCCTAGTGCACGTGATCTCCCAGAGAATGCTGCTTATACAGAGTCGCACTAAGGAACCACCGAAATTTTATTAATTTTTTTAATAATATGCGGCTGGGTAAGGGAAAAATTTTTAGGTGGAGTGTAGAGGGACACAATTAGTAGTTTCTTCAGCCGTATCACTACTAGACATTTTAAAAATTTTAAATTACCGAAATTACCGTATATGTACATACCACAGGCGTTAAAACGTAACCGACCACTCCGACCCTGTAACAATGAATTCGGTCAACTGATTGGAATTAATTCTGATTGGTCTGCATAAGGAGGCTTGTTTATTTTACCCAATAGAAGCAAATGTGTGTGGTGATCATGCTTTGATCACGCATCTATCTTTGTTTGGGTTACTTTGTTTGTTGGATGGATATGGTTTAATTGCAGAGTTACTCGTAGGTACTAATAAAATAAGTCCAACAGAATGAGGTCCTGAATCCGACTTCATAATCAATTTTGGAAAGTTTAGTAACAGATCGAAATTTTCAAAAGAATACATTGTTACGCACTACTCAAATAATATTTTTTTTAAAAAGAACGTCGTTGAAATTCTCTTCAAAGTCACTATTTCATTTGTATTGTCCTAGCTTAAATTAACGGATCAGAGGGCTTAAATTAACGGATCAGAGGGCTTAAATTAACGGATCAGAGTGCTTAAATTAAATCGTATTGACTAATAATTCAATAGACTTGGAAGACCATTTCAAAACTTGCAATTTGAATAAGTCAGCACTCCTAACAACTACAAGTTCTACGGTTTTCTCCGGAGAATTCAGACGGGAAATTGAGTTGAGAGCTACCGATTTCACTTGCCCAAGACAGCAATATTGCATGTAGAAGCAAATGACTACTTCATTAACTTCCACATCAAGTTCAATCAGGAATAGTGGCCCCCTCCCTGGAACCCTATAAATGGCACAAAAAAAATAAAGTCACTCACTAGTTGCTCTTGAATGCTGATCATCGGCGTGAAGCTCTGATCGTGAAACTTAATTAGATTATAGATAACCAGCCAACATAGGAGAGACAACCACCTGATTGGAGACGGCCTCTTCAATAAGAATTTATAAATGTTTCCAATGTCTTCAGTGGACATTAGTTCGCTTATGGAAAGTCTACCAACCAGTCTTTTGTGTAAACATCACAACTGCTTTCCTCCATACCTTGGATAAAACTGTCTGTGAATAACAGTTCTATGATTTCGAAAGAATGTCATAGTAAAGCGGAAAAAATATATTTGTGTGATTTGAAAGAAGACTTTCACGATGTGGACGGGCGGTGTTAACCGGACAAATGTCAACCCTTTCAGCTTAAGGGACCGGTTCTACCGGTTCTACCTTGCGATATAATTAACAGATAGCAAAACATTTTGATTTACAACTGGAGACGATAAAGCAACGCTACCACCCATTTTTTGTCGAACTTTTTTTTTATAAAAATACAAATGATTTTTTTATTAAGTCGACTCCTGCTCGGGAGATTTTTTGTTTTTTTTTCACATATACAGCCCACTTCACGTGGTTATCCAAACCAACCCGGCCTGGATACCGGCATGAATAAAGGGGGCCCCTTATTCTTCACTTTTGAAAAGACTCTCACACATTTTAATTATTTTCACAATGAACTAACACACAACACAAAACGGAGCCCCACGGTAGGACATGGCATCCGCGTACCTTCTTTGTGAGCGGATGTTATCAGCACATCCAGGGCCGTCGCCATGTGGGGGGAGCCTCCCCCCCTGCTTTTTCGACTTGGGAAAAAGTTGGGAAATTTTGGGCCGTGAAGATAGAAAAAAAATATAGTAAAAAAATCAATACAAATTAAAAAATGAAAATGAGAGAAAAGAAAGGGCGAGGTGATTAGAAAAGGAAAGAACCAGGTCAAGGTTGGGATTTCTCAACATGCATGACTTGGAGATCCCATACTTTGAAATTCTGAGTTGTTTGAAAACTTCAAAAAAGTTTAATTTCTCCCAAGTAAGAGATCAGTCCTGAACAGTCCACACATTTTGAAGTTACAATTTTACAAAATTCCCAATTTTTCGCTGTTTATTCGACTTGGACAAGTTGGGAAATTTCTGGCCGTGAAAATAGAAAAAATAATAGTAGAAAACAATACACACAATATTATTTAAGTGTTGTTTCCTTTCATTTGTATTGAATATTCCTATATATGGTGGATATGGTGGAAGACCAAGGACCTTGGTCCAAAGTAGAATAATTCCCATACGGAGCGCCAATTAATGTTTATTGTTGTTTTTTATATAAATTGATTTGAAATCCCTGTGCAAACTAGTTTGTGATAATAAAGAAATTGAAGTAAGAAAATCAAATTATAGTAGTAACTAATCCCTCGGCTTTAATTTTTTCGAACGTTGGGAAATTTTGCTGGTGGGGTTGGGAAAATTTGTATTCCCTCCACCCCTGGTTTTTCTTTTCGCTATGGCCCTGAACACATCCGTCCACTACCAAGGCCACCACGAAACTCAAAAAAAGTCAGACTTCAGATTCTTAATCAGCAATTCGTCAGGTTTTCAATACTTTAAAAAACATTTTGTAACCCACATGACATCTTCGATTCTGCTTTTAAAACTAACAATTTTGTTTCAGGGAAGACCATCAGACTTACCAACCCATGGTACTCTTCAAAAGAACGAAACACCACAAAGGATCGATATATTGTTTGGCTTGGTCCCCGGTAGGCGACTTGATGGCCACTGGTTCCAATGATAAGACTGTGAAACTGATGAGGTTCAACACGGACACATCTAATCTGGAAGGCGAGGAAATTGAACTCACCATGCATGATGGCACCATAAGAGATATTTGTTTTCTTGAAGATACTTCCAACAAATCCAGCCTGCTCATCAGCGGTGGTGCTGGTGACTGTAAAATATATGTCACGGATTGTGCTACTGGTACACCCTTTCAAGCTTTGAGTGGTCATACAGGTATGTAATTCCTATTGTGGTATCATAATCAAAGATGTTGAATGTTTTCGTCCATCTCTATTTAATAGTACTTAATTGGAAAAATAATATTGAAGATTCAAATGCTGCCTTTTATGGCTAATTTGAAATTGATTTTGTTTCATCACAGGAATTTATATTTCCACAGAATTTTGTCATTAGAGGACATACAGTATAGGATAGATTATGTTAGGTTATGTCCAAAGTGAGTGGGTCTATTCGACCCTCCACCACCACTCGCAAGGGTTTATTGTGGCTCACACCTATTCACACTCGACCAAATAAACCCAGCTCCTTAACGAAGCCGATTAGTTTGTATGGTGAGTGGTCTTTCAGGTCCCCGCTGAGGACCTGATTCGGTCCCCGGCGGGGCAGGCACAAAGTATATGCTCTGCTGTTTCATCGTTAATGAGGTAGTCAGATAGTCGAGGTGCAAGATTCCCACCTTGATACCCGTGACAACCTGACGATGTCTTAGATTCAACCGTGCAGCGCTTTTTCGCCTCTGGTTTTGGTGAATCATCACTTGAGCGCAAACGTTTGCTAACCTGCTCATGGAGGGTTTGTGCCTTCACCTGAGACAGATTCTGCGTACGCTGGTCAAGAATTTGTTGCAAGGCGGTTTCATAAGGTACCCCACTCTTGAGAAAACGACTCGGTCGTTTTCTCAAGAGTGGGGAGTGAGAGTGAAAAAACGACTCAGTCGTTTCCTGGCTGCACCACCAAACCTTTTTTTTAGGTTGTTATTGGATCAGGAGTTGGGGAGTTGAGAAGCTCTATCTCCTGAACTAAATTTACAGGGCGGTCAATTGGAGTCGTAAACTCCACATCCATCTCCCCTGTAGACACGCTCCTGAACTAAATTTACAGGGAGGTCAATTGGAGTCGTAAACTCGACATCCATCTCCTCTGTAGACTCGCTCCCGAAATAAATTTACAGGGAGGTCAGTTGGAGTCGTAAACTCGACATCCATCTCCTCTGTAGACTCGCTCCTGAACTAAATTTACAGGGCGGTTAATTGGAGTTGTAAACTCGACATCCATTTCCTCTGTAGACTCGCTCCCGAACTAAATTTACAGGGAGGTCAATTGGAGTCGTAAACTCGACATCCATCTCCCCTGTAGACTCGCTCCCGAACTAAATTTAGACTCAGCGTCAGAAAGAATTTTTACGTTTACCCTGTCTATAAAAGTCCCATGAGTAGCTAGGGACAGAAGGTCAATCACGGCAAATCCCCGGATTACCGTGACATGGCGATGCTACGACGAGAGGGTGCCCGGTATCTCGAAGGTTTCGTTGAGACAGCTGATAGGCTCAGTGTCATTCATCCTCTCAGCACGGATACACACACCTTAGGATCAAGCCATCGTTGGGATGCCATTGAATTAGGGAATAACAGAACCACAAGTGATTCTGTCATTCCCATATCCAGCGGGGCTACGTGGAAGCAGGCATCCTTTGGCCGGTTTGCTCAGCCCCCACATAACAAGCCAATGCACTCGACAAAAACAGCAAGAACAGTGGTTCAGGCAGTGAAAGATGAAGAAAGACAGTCAACCCGCCATATACAATATATGTATCAGATCAAATACTACATAAAGGAAAACTTTATGTGCTTCTGTATAATCCAGTGCCTCTTATATCATTAAATTTTGTAAAATCATTGAAATTAATTTATCATTTGTCAAGTGAATAAGGTATTTTTTATAATTTTTTTGTAGGTCATATTCTATCTTTGTACACATGGGGCGGCGCTATGTTCGTGAGCGGCTCGCATGACAAGACTGTTCGTTTCTGGGATCTGCGAACTAGAGGCTGCGTGAATATGGTAACTCCCATCACCGTACCTGGAACTCGGCAAGGCTCACCAGTGGCTAGTCTTTGTGTGGATCCATCTGGAAGACTGCTGGTATCGGGACACGAGGATAGTTCTTGTGTGCTGTATGATATTAGAGGCGGAAGGAATGTGCAATGTTTCAAACCACACTCTTCAGATGTCAGATCTATCAGATTTTCTCCATCTGCGTACTATTTGCTGTCGGCTGGTTATGATAATAAACTGGTTTTGACAGATTTACAAGGTAAGAACGATTTGTTTATCAATCTAGTTGATCAATAGTTTCACAATTTGCTTCAACTTCAATTTATTTTATTTCCTCAAATAATCTTACAACAGATATTGACATTGTCATGATCTGAAATAGCCTTACAGACACTTGAATTGATAATATACCCTAATAAATAAACAATCCAAATATAAAATATACATATCATGTCAATTATAAAAAGTTAAGGTAATGAAATTATGGGCTGGTTCCGCTAAAGAATTCGCCAAGAGATCAAAAACGGTGATCATTCAAAAAATCTTCAACCTTATTACCTTTCTTTTGTAGTTACGTATATTTTTAATCAATTTATTTTCGTTTACAAATGCATTCAATACTTTCATTGCTGTATATTTACTTTACTTAAAAGAATATGAAACTTTACATAAAAGAAATTACATAATATTTCCATATTAATCAATTTTTTTATATGTACAGAGGAGTGCTAAAATTCAAAGGTTTTTGTAAAAAGGGACTTACAAGAATCTAAGTAATGAATTTCCTCATGCTCTTTATAATATATTTTTATCTAAGGAAAGGAAGCTCTTTTAGCAAGGTTCAATCCTTTCCTGGAATTGTCAATGCATAAGTCGGAATTGATTGAACTGTAGGTGAATAATTTGTTGAATGTTATTGCTGTATTATAGAGGACAGAATACAACATCAACATCAAAGTCGATATGGTTTTGCAATGCTAAGCTTTATCATCGACTTCTGAATGACAACTTTTGGCTTTTAATTCCTTCTAGTTGATTACTTGCTGTTATAGCAGCAGAGAAAGGCAGAAAGAGATTTCTTACTTGGTGATCGATGTGGGATTTTATATAAATCAGGACAATAAAAGTATGTTTTTTCAACATTCAATCATTTTCATGTTGTTTTGAAAATACCAAAGGTCAATTTGAATTGGTTTTCTTTAAAATTTTTTTTTTAATTTGTCTCAATTTTCTATAAAATACATTAAAAATACTCATCGTCCATTATATTGTCAAATGTAATTTTGTTTTTGCTTTGCCAAAAAAGCACTTATAGAACCAAACATTAAATTACTTGTTATCAACTGATGTAATCAGAAGATTCAAGCAGGAATTCATTAACCTATTTAATGTTGGAAACTTATTTGTTTTTTTAAGTTTTGTCAATTCCACATCTACGATTTTTGAAAGGAGAGGTTATATCTGTAAATGAATTTATCTTTCCAAATTCAAAGTTCATATGAAGTTCCTTAGAAAAATATTATCGAAAATAATAATAGAAGTTCCAACAAGTTCTCTATTTGGGTGATACTGGAAAAATAAACTTAGTATCTGTCTTTCATTTTCGTAAATTTTACGAATAATTTACAAAAATTTATATAAAAAATACAGATCCGTATTTAAAATTTTAAAGTTGAGGGAGCTACTGGACGAGAAAGACCCTCTATAGAAATTCTTTTATCATGTTCTCATAGTCCAATGAAAGTTGCTTCGACAGTGTGTTGGCAGATTTACAATATATCTGCAAATGAAGACCATACTACACAAAATAGAATTTCAAAATTTTCGATTCTTCTGATATATCTCCGCAAGCAAAAAAGCTGGTATTAAATTCAATAATTCCCAGAAATAGGTGGATGGTTAAATTAGAGAAAATTTGCGATATTTCAGTGCAATCAACATGCTGTTAACAAAATCTGAAATATCATATTTGAAAAAAATTTTTTCATGATCTGCAACATTTTCTCTTGTCCAAGACTGCATTTTATTTTGATAGAATTACCAACTTTATTTTTTTATATGGTCAGTAAAAATTGGTCATTTTTGATTGAGAATGCAATGATTAACGGCACAATATGATTTAAATCGGAAAAAAAGTTGTTATCAAATTCTAAAATTTTCACTTCACTGAAATGTTTTATTATTTTCATTATGGAGTGAAATTTTGTATTTAAAAAGATGAAATCCAAATCAAATTATGAAAGAATTAAAAAGTTAGGCTAGATAGGTAGTTTGGCAGCAAATCAATTACAATCCCTGATGATGATTTTTTTTTCATATTCCAAACAACTTTATTTCTTATCGCATCTTGTTTTTGTTCACAGGAGATCTAACTCTTCCTCTGCCTAGTGTTGTTGTTGCCCAGCATCAGGATAAATGTATATCTGGTCGTTGGCATCCATCAGAATTTTCGTTTCTATCTACTTCGGCTGATAAAACGGCGACGCTCTGGGCTTTACCTCCAATTTAATTCTCGAATTCATGTTTTGTTAATCCATAAGTCTGAACTAACAAATAAAAACAGTCACTTTGCACTTGTGCACCTTATGTTATGTTCATCTAGTTCAAGTTTTTGATAAGTTTTTGTATGAAGTAACATTGGTTAATGTTTGCTTATGTGAGGGTATAAAACTGTTATAACTCAGATATTTTTAATGTATATCTCAAGTAATTGCACAATGTTGATGATTTTCTAGGTGCTGAATTGGATTTTTTATTTTATGTGGGTGTCTAATCGTTGTTATTTATTATCTTTGAAATTTAACTGCACAGAAATAACTGTAAATATATTTATTAGCTACTTATATATATTTTTCAAGCCTTTGTATAAAAAATTATTAAACAATAATGTACCCGTTATTTATGACTTTATATTGTTTAGTATTATGAAAATAGTTAATACTAATATTTTGTAGTCCAATATATTATCTGTTTAATTTTTAATAAAACCTATTAGTAAAATCTGTGAGTTTTGTTTTCGAAATATTGACTCATCATGAGTTATTTTAGTTTTTTGTAAGTTCCTAAACTACTGTACTCAGTAGAAATGCTTTGTTACCACAGCAGTCTTCAAAACGGGCTGTAAATCATTGGAAACTATAACCCTCATCAATAATTTCGCCAAATTCTTCGTAAAGGTATCAAAGCCCTTTGAATGTTCTGATTAGTTCAGTTTACATATAAAAGATCAAAATTCCTATTATTGTGGTTGTGTATATTGGATGTTTTTTATTAGTCAGTAAGCTATTCTTGAAGACAGACAGTAAACATATCTAAAAAAATGAACTTTAAATGTTCAAGCCAGTCTTGGATATACCTACACAGTAGGTTGAATGGACTGACGCCTATCAGAAAACAACTACACTGGCTAGTACCACGAACGGCGTTGGATTATATCCGACAGGCGTCAGTGCAAGAATCTTCACAGAAAATTTCCTGCATATGCAATTGGCAATACAACTGAAAGAGTCGACCTTCAATTTTGAAAATCGAAATTCTTTCAGAGTATTTCATTCCTCGTCCTGATTCTTCTGAATAAGGAAGAAACACTTTCTTATTAGTCAGTGGGCTATGCTTGAAGACAGGCAGGTAATTTTAGGATGATCCTCATTCCACAGTTCTGTAAGTGTGCTTTCAGCCACATTCAGAGGGCTGAAACCCTATTTCAGTAGGGCTTGAAAATACTTGAAGCACAATTTATTTTAACAACTTTCGCTCATGCTCCACCGGCACTGGAGTAGTTGATGTGAGTTCACAATTACTGAGAAAAAGTATCATAATTGTACACAGTCACAACTTTCATGAGTGATATGTTTGCTGGTTTTGCCCCAGAAAAGTAAATGTTTACTCTTTGCTAACTTGATGAGTAAATAAAACTAATAGACAGATCACTTTGTTCCTTACAGACAAAAAAATTGGTGTGGCTCAATGCATTGGGAACTCACAAGGTGTCTAAATTTCACCTAATCTTATAGGTCTATCATGAAGGGACAAAACAAATCCAATAATCCAATCCATAAATTACCTTTTGTAATTTGTCTTCTAAAGTATCTGTAGTCCAACTTCATTCTACCATTTTGGCAGTCCATTTGCATCAAGTGATTCTCTTTATGTCCTTAGAATAAATATGTATAATAACATTATCTCTTGTAACAAAAATCAAATATGTATTATTACTGTATTGAGGAGACATACATACATATAAGAAAATTAATATTTGTAAATGAGATTTTAAAACATTATTCGTTCCCGATGTTCCTGTCCAGTAGGATCTGGTAAATGCCTGCCGGAACACAACTACTTCCCCGGCTAATTCCACGCTTGACATTGAATTATATCCTACAGACATTTATGCAGACAGAGGCTAGTCTCGTAGATGTTTCTCATTCATCCAGCAGCAGGACCATGCTGAAATTATTCAAGTAGATCACCTGCAGACTGCGGTTTCGAGGTATTACCTCTCGTCAGTACAGGAAGGATTCTATACCCAGACAGCATTGTGTCGGGGACTCGACATTTATGTATTGATTTTTTCTTTGCCATCGATAACTATGGTCATTATTTTTGTGTTCTGGGTATCTTATGTTAATAACTTCCCGAGCCTCTTAGGAAACATGATAGCTATGCGTAGTTCCGTTAGCCATGTTACCTAGCAGAATGAATCCACCCACAACTCGAATATCGTGCGAGTGAAATATTTTGTTGTAGACAGATTCCAATACAATATCTTTGAAATATGACTCTGCTTTACTACCAGTGCCCCAATTTACCGCTAAAAGTAGTTATTATTAGACGATATGTCTTTTGATGGTCATTATTTATATATTTTCACAGAAACAGTAAAACGTGTTTTTGCTATAAATTAGGTTTTTTAGGCTTCAATCAATTGGTATACCTACTCGTATTATCTCTATGCAATAAGCTATTACGGAAACAGCAAATCCCACTGAGCTCAGTAACCTTTGACAATTGCGTTGTAGTTGAATATTTGCTGACCTACGGTTTTGGGATTTCATCAAATTATGCTACACTCAACTTATTTGCTTAGCAAAACTTCGAAAATCATGAATTTTCACATGTTTCAACCGATTACCCTTGCATTGATCTCTGTTGACGATACGACGAAAAACTGATGTAAGTTTCGAGAAATTTTACTAGGAGCTTCTTCTCAATGACGAGATGACCGAGCCCATGATACATTTTTGGGGGTTATTTGATACCTCTTGAACAAAAATGATTACTAAGGTCCTGTCGGTTGTACATAGTGCAGGTGAAAATCTTGGATAATTGACCAAAAATTCTTGTACGGCTTTCATTATTTCAGATACGACTGGGGTATTTTCTTACTCAATGGAACATGAAAATAAAATAAATTCATTTTTAGAAATGTGACCAATGCTGTACCAATGTATTTCGTAACAATATATGTTTAAATAGAAAATGTTATTTAATATTGACTTGCTGTATAAATTAGTTTGATAATGGGGTGGTAAACATGAAAGGATCCACAACCAAGAATTAGGGTTCATGGTAACTTATTCCTTTACAATTGATCTAACTTCACGAGATCCTCACAGAAATGTATCATCTCTGTATGCAAATGACACTTTTTGGTTTGTTTTTGATTAATACCATTCTTCTACCGACTATGCTAATATTTATATATGTAGGTAACTAGAACTAGACGAATCTTTACCTTATATAATGAGGGTCATTAAATTATTTCCTAGTACCTAGTGATTATGTAAAACTGCGGAAAGAAGGCTGTTAGATATGGGACCTTTGTCAGCATTCATTGAACTCATTCCACATTTTTCGATTTCTCAACTTTCGAAGGCATCTAAAAATTTGTTGTCATGTACCAGTCTCAACAGTTCCAAAGCACTCCTCACTTATTCTGTGATTGTTCTCAATGACATGTTGAGCAACACTGGACTTATTCAGTCCATGAAACCGAATATGTGAAACATGTTTTAAGTAGGGGGCTATTAAAGTTCGCTTAGTTTGTCCAACATATGTTTTATCGTAATCCTTGCAGTTCATTTCGTAACTCCCAGACCTTTCCTTTTCCGCCGTCTTATCTGTCGAGTTGCACAACACTTGTTGGAGTGTACGAGCAATTTCAATTTTTCACAATTTAAACTAATCCGTTGATGTCGTTAGTTTCGTATGTAAGAACTGTACGTCTTTCTGAAAAGTCGAGGATTCATGAAGACTCAGTGAATTTTCTCTTCCTAATTAACTTATCTACTATGTTTAAATGATATCCGTTACTTTAGGCTATATAATTGATAACTTTGTTCTCGATATCATATCTTCCTTGGCTCAAGAGGAACAAGACCTGCCTGTGAAAAAGAGAATGTGGGTGATCCCGCCAGCGTTTGTTCATTTTCTTATGTTCGTACGCTTGTTTCGAACATATGTTCACATTTTCAGCTGTTTACATTGGAAACGTCTGGTAGTGTGGAAATAAAATTCATGGATGTTGGCATCACGATAATGCATCTGCTTTCTCGTCACTGCTTGTTCTTAATTTTTTGGCCAAAAACAACACCATAATCATGCCTCAGCCATCATATTCACCAGATTTGCCCTTCTGTGACTTTTTTCTTTCCCAAGATTGAAAGAACGGCGTTTCATTACGATTGAGGAGATAAAATCGAATCGCTGAGAGAGCTCAAGGACATAGGTAAGTTCCAAAAAGTGCATAGCAGAACTGTTTCGAGGAATGGAGAAAACGCTGGCACAAGTGTATTTTATCTGAGGGGGGCTACTTTGAAAGGAACAAAATAGAAATTTATGAATAAATGAATATTTTTTTAGAAAAATGAAAAATCAGACCCATTTTTTGAACAGACACTGTATATAGATAAAATTACGAACCCTTACCGGCGTTTCATGAAACATTTTTACTAGTTATAGCAAGTAACAACGCAGGCCCTACTTGTGACGTCAACAACTTCTGGAAAGCATTTTGATGTGACGTAAAATCTTTGAAATTAAAGTAAGAATTTTTCAATTTATCAATTTTTGTTAGAAAATTTTTATTGGCATTTGAACGATACGATTCCATTTATATAACAACACGAATTATGTCCAGAAACATGACAAACATCCAACAAAGGAACAGTACAAACTAGTGAAGCGAACAAAATTTAGTATCTTTCGTAAACTTTTGAGAAATGTACAAGTCGAAAGGTTTCCAAGTATAATCGATTATATAATAGAGAAAAGAACCGAAGAACTACTTCAATATAGTAGGGATCGGCTCAGAATAATTACAGGGTTACTAACCGGTCATTGTCCGCTTAGAGGACACCTGAATAAAATGGGGCTGTACAACGGATACCTCAGCTACAGATCATGCAACGAAGGGATAGAAACATCTCTACACATCTTATGCGAACGTGAGTCACTGAATCAAAGGAGGCAGGCAATATATGGACGTACAAAATTACGCCCAGAAGAATATGACGAACATCCAACATGGAACCTATACAAACTAGTACAGGGAACGAGACTAATGGAATGGGTGTCATGAGAAGATGGGAGAATAAACGCAATAAGCCCAAGAGGCTGCAGTGTTTTCTGGAGACTTGGACTAAATGGACAAGTCACACAGCTCTCAAGGGACAAATAAAAACCTATGAGTAGGTATATATGTGATGGAATTGGCCTACACTTGAATAAAATTCGTATCTTATTCGAGTAACACTTCATTGTAAAATTTCCACTAGACAGTTACTCAACCAAGAGTATTTATACAATATACATTAAAAAACATTTTAAATATTCTCCATAGTTTTTGGTGCGTTTGTCATTCACACTAAATGTTTATGTTGGTGTAATTCATAATATGGATTCAATTAAGTAATGAAACTTTCATCTTTTTCAAAATCGCAGGAAGCCTGATATCGCCATTTCTTTTGACCACTCTAATAATAATCAGTCCGACCCTGACT